AAAAAAAAAAAAAAAAAAAAAAAAAATAATAATAATAATAATAATAAACACAAGTGTCAGTGGGGGAAGAGAGTAAAGTGGGTTCTGTGTCTTCAGTACTGGGAAAAGATTTGCTGTGAGACCTGGTGGTCAACCCAGTACCTGATCTTCTCTGTGCACCTCTGCAATTATTGTAAGGATGTTATCTGTCTGTCTCCTTCCCCCTCACAGGGTGGGCAGCTGCGGTCTTCCTCATACACCCTACTGACACAGGGGTGGGGCCATTCAAGAAGCAGTCACTTCAGGGATAGGCCCACTGCCGCACCTGCCTGCTCATGTCCACAGGCAGCTGCCCAGCTGATCAATCACCACAATTTGGGGTTAGGAGTTTGGTCCTGGAAGGCAGGTAGCCACAACTACTACCTAGCCAAATAATATTCTAAAGAGCTGTCCTGTCGTGTTCAACGTCTAGGTCCACGGTTCCCGCAAGCTTAGCGAAGTAATGCTCTATCATTCTTACCCGCATTTACAGATGGGGAAATGGGCTGGGAGATGACAATCTGGAGGGACCAGGATTTGTGTCTCGGCTCAATTTCTACATCTCTAAATGGAAATAATTCTACTAACTCTGAGGGTTGTGGGGGGAATTTAATGAATATATGTGTTTACTTGTTTATCTCCTGTTTTCTGTTCTAGACTGTAAACCCAATGGGCAGCTACTTCGGTTTGTTCACTGCTCTATTGTCAGAGCCTAGAACAAGTGCCGGTACGAAGTAGATGTTCAATAAATATCCAAACCTAAATGGAAGCGACAGGAGACAAGTCTAGGCCAGAGCCCGGCCCTTCTATAACCTTAGTTCCCCAGATTTACCTTCCACATCTGGCAGCCACTGGTTGATGGAAGCATCGTCGGGCTGGGGCTACGGCTGGGGCTGGGGGAAACTACTTCTGGCCTTGGGACAAGGTCAGCAAAAATCTCAGCAGCGAGGAGGCCAGAAAAGTCCCCAAGGGGCAGGCTGCAATGCCAGCCTAAGCCCTCAGGTTCCCTTTTTCTTTTTCTTTTTTTTTTTTTTGGAGCCCAGTCTGTACTGTCATGAGCTGGAGTGCAGTGGCCGGACCTCAGCTCACTGCAAGCTCCACCTCCCAGGTTTACACCATTCTCCTGCCTCAGCCTCCCAAGTAGCTGGGACTATGGCATGCACCACCTCTGCCCGGCTAGTTTTTGTATTTTTAGTAGAGACGGGGGTTTCACCATGTTGGCCAGGATGGTCTCGATCTCCTGACCTTGTGATCCGCCCGTCTCGGCCTCCCAAAGTGCTGGGATTACAGGCTTGAGCCACCGCGCCCGGCCCCTTTTTCTTTCTCACCATCAGGAAAAGCACTTTTCTCGCCCTGCCTGCCAGAGCCCAGGCCACCCCCAACTGCACGGGCTGCCGGGACGGGAAAGGAGCCTCGCACGATCGTGGGCGGGGCCGAGGTGCAGGAACGGCGTGGCGAGGAGACCAGGTCGGAGAAGGAGGCCGACCCACCGGCAGAGAGAAAGGCGGGAAGGGCGCTTTTAGTAGAGACGGGGTTTCACCGTGTTAGCCAGGATGGTCTCGATCTCCTGACCTTGTGATCCGCCCGTCTCGGCCTCCCAAAGTGCTGGGATTACAGGCTTGAGCCACCGCGCCCGGCCCCCTTTTTCTTTTTCTACATCAGGAAAAGCACTTTTCTCGCCCTGCCTGCAGAGCGGGCCACCCCCAGCTGCAGGCTGCCGGGACGGGAAAGGAGCCTCGCACGATCGGCCGGGCGAGGCCGAGGAACAGGAACGGCGTGGCGAGGAGACCAGGTCCCGGAGAAGGAGAGCCGACCCCACGGGCAGAGAAAGGCGGGGAAGGGCGCGGAGGCGGAGCACTGGGCCTGTGCCCGCCCGCGGCTCTCGCGCTCCGGCGCTGCTCCACCTTAAGCGTCTGGACCCCCTTAAGGGCAGGGGCTGGAGCAGCGAGCCCCGGGGGCGGGACCTCCAATGCAAATGAGGGGCGTGGGCCGGCGGGGCGTGGCGGGCGGGGCGCTGACCTGACGTCAGGCTCGCGGCCCGGGCAGTTGGCTCGGCGGCAGCGGAGCGGCCGGAGCGGCCGGAGCGGCGGTGCGGAGCTGGGCCGCGCGGCGTGGCGCGGGGAGCGGCGGCGGCGGCAGAGCCAGAGCAACATGGCGCCGGTGGAAGGGGGCGGGCGCCCGGGCGACGGGCCGGCCCGCGGGCGCCTCCTCCTGGCGGCGCCGGTGCTGCTGGTGCTGCTGTGGGCGCGGGGGGCCCGGGGCCAGGGCAGCCCCCAGCAGGGCGCGATCGTGGGCATGAGGCTGGCGAGCTGCAACAAGTCGTGTGGGACGAACCCGGATGGCATCATCTTCGTGTCCGAGGGCAGCACCGTGAACCTGAGGCTGTACGGCTACAGCCTGGGCAACATCTCCGGTAACCTAATCTCCTTCACCGAGGTGGACGATGCCGAGACCCTCCACAAGTCCACCAGCTGTCTCGAGCTCACCAAGGACCTGGTTGTCCAGCAGCTGGTCAACGTGAGCCGCGGGAACACGTCCGGCGTGCTGGTGGTGCTCACCAAGTTCCTCCGGAGGAGCGAGAACATGAAACTGTATGCACTGTGCACCCGGGCCCAGCCCGACGGGCCCTGGCTGAAGTGGACGGACAAGGACTCACTGCTCTTCATGGTGGAGGAGCCTGGGAGGTTCCTGCCTCTCTGGCTGCACATCCTTCTCATTACGGTGCTGCTGGTGCTGTCGGGCATATTTTCTGGCCTCAACCTCGGGCTTATGGCCCTGGACCCCATGGAGCTGCGCATCGTGCAGAACTGTGGCACCGAGAAGGAGAGGCGCTATGCCCGCAAGATTGAGCCCATCCGGCGCAAGGGCAACTACCTTCTCTGTTCGTTGCTCCTGGGGAACGTGCTGGTCAACACCTCCCTCACCATCCTTCTAGACAACCTCATCGGGTCCGGCCTCATGGCGGTGGCCTCCTCCACCATTGGCATTGTCATCTTTGGGGAGATCCTACCTCAGGCCCTGTGCTCCCGACACGGGCTGGCTGTGGGTGCCAACACCATCATTCTCACCAAATTCTTTATGCTGCTCACCTTCCCCCTCAGTTTTCCCATCAGCAAGCTCCTGGACTTTTTTCTGGGCCAGGAGATTCGCACTGTTTACAACCGGGAGAAGCTGATGGAGATGTTGAAGGTGACGGAGCCGTATAATGACCTCGTGAAAGAGGAGCTCAATATGATCCAGGGTGCCCTGGAACTCCGCACCAAAACCGTAGAGGATATCATGACTCAGCTCCAGGACTGCTTCATGATCCGCAGCGATGCCATCTTGGACTTCAACACCATGTCCGAGATCATGGAAAGCGGCTATACCCGCATCCCGGTGTTCGAAGATGAGCAGTCCAATATTGTAGATATTCTCTACGTCAAAGACTTGGCCTTTGTGGACCCTGATGACTGCACCCCGCTCAAGACAATCACTCGCTTCTACAACCACCCGGTGCACTTTGTCTTCCATGACACCAAGTTGGATGCCATGCTGGAGGAGTTCAAGAAGGGTAAGGCCGGATGTAGTTCCCCTGGTTCAATTTCCTCGAGACGCCTCTTGTCCCCTGGCGTGTTTTGTGTCTGCTGGCTTTAGTGTTCTGTTTGTGTGACTCTGTGTCCCTTTGCCCATCACTTCCTATGCCTCTGAGGTGAACGATTTTGGAGCAGGAGACCCATTCTCAAGTGTCTGCCGTCTGCTAGCTAGTATGCTGTGTGCTCCTGATGAATCAAAGCTGAATAAGACACACTCGCTCCCTTGGAGGGCTGGAGCAAGGCCTCAGGGAGCTGTTGAAGCAAGACAGAGTAAGATACCTGAAAAGAGGCCAGGGTGATGGAGATTTAGAGTATGGGGTGGAGTCGAGAAGGGGCTGGGAAACTGGGGAATTCACAGGGGAAGGTGCTTTTGAAGAGAACCTTAAAAGGTGGAGAGGCTTGCTGCTTGAGGCAAAGGGAACCCCGCAAGCAGAGAACCCGAGTGGAGAAGCAAAGGTGTGCTGGTGGCCCAGCGGGTGGTCCTGTTTCGTGGGCATAGTGGTTCTGATGCTCAGTTGTCAATGGCTGGAGTCGTTTGGGGCCTGGTGGTGGATGCTAAGTTTGCTCCCAGCGTGGAGCTACAGGTTTTTGAGCAGGGGAGTGATGTTATTGGAGGTGCCAACCCACAGAAGCAGAATTGGGAGGTCTCTAATTGGCTTGCTGCTCAGAACAATGCCAAGTGGTGCTTTCGACTATTCAGCAGACGCAAGCAGATTAGGTTTTGGTAATTGTCCCGTCTTTCCCTGGCGCCAGCATTAGCTTCCCTCCAGTGGTCTTCCGGAGATCTTCAGCTGCCTTGCACTGCCTTGTGTTTTTTTCTCACCTGGGTTCTTGGCCATTTCGCAGGTAGTTAGACATTTGGAGGGTTTACTCATCAGCCTCAAAGCTCAAGGCACACACTCCTTTTCTTCCAGCAAAATTTCCCTCCCACCTCTGCCATTCAGAAACCCTCAAAGTGGCAGTAAACAAGCCAATTATGGAGTGGAACCCTCCTAGGCTGAAGGAAGTGAGGAGGCAGAAAGGGAAGCTCTCTCTTTTTAAAGGAATGGGGGTGAGGGGCTCATCCCAAACTTGAGGACTTTGCTTTCTAAACACCCTCCCAGCCTTCATTCTCGTAGGAGAGCTCCTGCTGGCTGAGGCCGCTCAGGCCGACCTAGGGCTCGGAGGGACTTCGGAATCCTAGCAGGGAGTGAGCTGGCAGGTGTTTCTGTAACAGAGAGTGGAGGACAGCTTTGTAGCGGGATAGGCAGGAGCTGGCTTTGCCAGGTTTGGTCTGAAAAGATGCTGGGGTCAGGGCCAGGGTGGTGGGTTGGTACCCTCTTAAGTTCAACAGACTGAATCTCAGCATCGGAGCTGAGGACCACTTGAGTAAAGTAAGCTAGAGTCGGGGAGAGCCCTGGGGAAGGTGGCCTCCCTGCAGAGACTGGAGAGAGAGACCCCTGATGGTGAAGGCAGAGGCTGTGGTGGGGCAGGGATGGGGGCGGCTTTGGGAGTGCAGAGCCAGGGATCAGGTTTTCCCAGGTACCCGAGCCTGGGACAGGAAAGCAGTGAGGATCTGTGCCCCACCCCCACCCCAAGCCTTGGGACCTGAAGACTTCTCTTATTGCTTGGTAGGGAAACTGATAAGGACCCTCCAGGGCAACTTCCTCCTCACTGCCTCTGTGGTGTTTGGGACTGTGGCTTGTGACACACCCAACAGCACCTTCTCTCAATTCAGTTGGGAATCTGGATCTAACCAGTATGGATTGGTCTGACCAGTCTCCCAGTCCTGATCAGCAGGACTGAGCTCTCTTGGGTGGGAGCCTCCTGGGTCTTGAGAGGGCTGTCTTTGGGCTCTGTCTTGTCAAGTGTCCTTTCATTAAGTTGGGAAAACAGAGCTAGCATCTCTCAGGCCAGAGCAGAGCTCTGCTGAGCCAAAGTCCCCAGGTCAGTTTACTCCAGGAAAGTCTTCTCCTTAACAGAGGCCAGTCGCCTGAGGCCAAGCCCTGAGCAGTGCTGGTAATCCCAGGGAACTGCACACAGGCTGCCCAGGAGATGGTGAGAGTCCCCGCTCTCCACCCCCCATCCCCAAATGAACAGGCCCTGTGGCTTTATGCCATCACTTACTTCCCCATTCTCAGAGGTCTTGGAAAACCAGTTTTAACTCTTTGCTCACTGGGTTCCCTGCAGTGTGGCCTCTTCCAGACCTTCCAATCTGGTGTCCACCTTCTTAGTCTGCGATTGCCCAGGACACAGAACACACCTAGTGTCCATCTGCAATTTAAGAGTTTCTCGTCAGGGCACGGTGGCTCGTACCTGTAATCCCAGCACTTTGGGAGGGCGAGGTGGACAGATCACATGTCAGGAGATTGAGACCATCCTGGCTAACATGGTGAAACCTCGTTTCTACTAAAAATACAAAAAATTAGCCGGCCGTGGTGGCACATGCTTGTAGTCCTAGCTACTCGGGAGGCTGAGACGGGAGAATCGCTTGAACCCGGGAGGCGGAGGTTGCAGTGAGCCCAGATTGCACCACTGCACTCCAGCCTGGGCGACAGAGCAAGACTGTCTCAAAAAGAAAAAGATTTGCTTTAGGGGTCTGGGATTGCGTTTTTTTTTTTTTTTTTTTTTTTTTTTTTGCTAAGAGAAACAAGTGAGCAAGGTTAGAACAGCTGGATTGTTTTATTTGTTTGTTTATTGTTGTTATTTTTTGAGACAGAGTTTCATTCTTGTTGCCCAGGCTGGAGTGTAATGGCACGATCTCGGCTCACTGCAACCTCCACCTCCCGGGTCCAAGCGATTCTCCTGCCTCAGCCTCCTGAGTAGCTGGGATTACAGGCATGTGCCACCACCCCCGGCTAATTTTATATTTTTAGTGGAGATGGGGTTTCTCCATGTTGGTCAGTCTGGTCTGGAACTCCTGACCTCAGGTGATCCACCCGCCTCGGCCTCTCAAAGTACTGGGATTACAGGCGTGAGCCACCGCGCCTGGTCTTTCAGCTGGCATTGCCAACAGCACCAGAGTCAGAGCTGGGTGACTGTCTAACCCAGCATCTCTCTCTGAGGGTCTGTTCTGGACCCCCTCCACCCCAGGTTGGGCGAGGGCCCTGAGCCTAGCTTTGCCAGAGTCCTTCTGCCCCACAAGTAATCCTGTTCTATCTAGGGCCTTTGTATTCCTTCTTTCCCCTCTCCAGCATTTTTTTTTTTTTTTTTTTTTTAGACAGAGTCTTGCTCTGCCGCCCAGGCTGGAGTGCAGTGGCCAGATCTCAGCTCACTGCAAGCTCCGTCTCCCGGGTTTATGCCATTCTCCTGCCTCAGCCTCCCGTGTAGCTGGGACTACAGGCGCCCGCCACCGCGCCTGGCTAGTTTTTTGTATTTTTTAGTAGAGACGGGGTTTCACCGTGTTAACCAGGATGGTCTCGATTTCCTGACCTCGTGATCCGCCCGTCTCGGCCTCCCAAAGTGCTGGGATTACAGGCTTGAGCCACTGTGCCCGGCCTGCCCCTCTCCAGCATTATAAGCTCTTTGAGGGTAGAGTCCATGCCTTCTTAAGTGTTTTCACTGCTCAGTGCTTGGTAAAGAGATGGGTCTCCAGTAAGTGTTGAACAAGTGAATAAACAATGGATGACTCTCTGGCAAACCCCACTGACCTTTTTGCTGTTATTTTTTCCTTTCTTTTTTTTTTTTGAGACAGAGTTTCGCTCTTGTTGCCCAGGCTGGAGTGCAGTGACACCATCTTGACTCACTACAACCTCCTCCTCCGATTCTCCTGCCTCAGCCTCCTGAGTAGCTGGGATTACAGGCTCCCACCACCATGCCCGGCTAATTTTTATATTTTTAGTAGAGATGGGGTTTCACCATGTTGGCCAGGCTGGTCATGAACTCCTGACCTCAGGTGATCCCCCCACCTCAGCCTCCCACAGTATTAGGATTACAGGCGTGAGCCACTGTGCCTGGCCTTTTTTTGTTTTGTTTTGTTTTGTTTTGAGACAGAGTTTCACTCTGGCACGCTCTCGGCTCACTGCAACCTCCGCCTCCCAGGTTCAAGCTATTCTTGTGCCTCAGCCTCCAAGTAGCAGGGATTAGAGGTACGTGCCACCCATCTGGCTGATTTTTGTATTTTTAGTAGAGATGGAGTTTCACCATGTTAGCCAGGCTAGTCTTGAACTCCTGACCTCAAGTGATCTGCCCACCTTGGCCTCCCGAAGTGCTGAGATTACAGGTGTGAGCCACCGCACCTGGCCCTTTTTCTGTTCTTGAACACACCAGGATGCTCCCACCCTGGGGCCTTTGCCCTGGTTGTTTCCTTGGGCTGGAATATTCTTCCCCAGAAGTCAGTATGGCTCACTGTCTTCCCAGGTCACCTCTCAGTGGGGCCTTCCTGCCACCTTATTTAAAACCGCACCCACCATCCCACCCCAACTTCCTAATCTCCCCTGCCCTGTGCTGATGTCCCCTCTTCTCATAGCACACATCGTTCTCTAGCATCTGTGTAATTTGCTGATTTCCTGTGTTGTCTACTGTCTGTCTCCTTCCACTGGCATATAAGTTTCAAAGGGCAGCTCTCTTTGTTTTGCTTGTCAATGTATCTCTAGCCCCTAGAAAGGCTCTCGGCACGTAGTAAGGCCTCCGTCCACGGCACTGAGTGAGAAAGTGAGTGAATGAATACCTGTCTGGTTTGGCAGAGGATCCTTCCCATTTTAATAGTGTTAGAATTCTGAGGAGCTGATGAGGGCAAAGAAAAATGGGTGTCGTGCACTTACCAGGTTCAGAGTTCCATCCACACAGGACAGACAGGAGGAGCGCCTGGGATGACATGTCGGGGACTGAGAGGTAGAGTTTGGGGCCTTGAATGTGATGCAGGGTTCCCCTCCACATGCCTCAGTTTCCCCACCAATAAGTGGTGTTTGACCACTGGGGGTTTACACAGCTTCCCTCGTTAGATGAGTCATGAAAGTGCTCCTGCACACTTAGAGATGGGCTAGGGGCATCGGTGCAG